AAGGGAACCCCGCCGTCAGATCCTCCACCGGCGGCTGGAGATCCGCCGGATTCATCATCTGTAAGTTCCATTTTTTCTAAGCCATACCCTTTGATTTCCCGCCAAACACTGGTGGAGAGATTACTGCAGCTTCTGTTGGTGTCTCAGGCCTGGATATGGCGGAGAGGTTCGCCAACTTTGGGATATCTTCGAATCTGATAACGTACTTGACGGGTCCAGTGGGCCTATCGACGGCGGCTGCGGCGGCCAGCGTCAACGCCTGGTCGGGAACGGCCTTGCTCCTTCCGCTGCTCGGTGGCTTCGTCGCTGACTCGTTTCTCGGCCGTTTCCGTACCATCATCTTCTCCTCTCTTCTCTACGTCTCGGTATAAAAACTAAAAAGAGCAGATCTCTCCGAACCCTCTGGTTTAGCTTATATGGAATTCAGAGACAGAGACTAAATCTCCATTTCTGAGCTTGCAGGGACTTGCACTACTGACGTATTCAACGATGGTTCCATCCCTCGCATCTCACGCAACTCATCTCCAAGTGGTTTTGTTCTTCTGCGCTCTGTATCTGGTAGCAATCGCGCAAGGAGGGTACAGACCGTGTGCTCAGGCATTTGGAGCTGGTCAGTTCGACGAGCACGACCCACGAGAGAGCAAAGCCAAGAGCTCCTACTTCAACTGGAGGTTCTTCTGCATCTGCGCCGGCATCTTGATCAGCCGCTTGCTCTTGAACTACATCCAAGACAACCTCAGTTGGGCTGTCGGCTACGCCATTCCCTGCCTCATGATGTTACTTGCGCTTATCATCTTCCTGCTTGGACGTAGGAATTACCGCTTCAGCGGCGGAGGAAAACAACGAAGCCAGTTTTCAAGAATCGGTGACGTTTTCGTCGAGGCTGTGAAGAATCGGAGGATACCAGCCGACGAAGAAGAAACCCTCGGAATCCTGTCCCGGAAAACTTCACAGCAGTTTGGGTAACAGAGTTTGCTCTGCCATCTCCATTGTTTGTAGGACACGGAAACGTTTAAAGTGACATTTTCCTTCTCTTTTCTTGAAACTGTGCAGATTCTTGAACAAGGCGGCTTTCGGGGTTTGCAGCATTGATGATGTCGAAGAAGCAAAAGGGGTACTGAGGCTGGTTCCGATATGGGCAACATGCTTAGTCTACGCCATTGCATTTGCACAGAACACGACTCTTTTCACGAAGCAAGGAGCGACAATGGACAGAAGGATCACATCGGGGTTCGACATCCCTGCAGCCACGCTCCAATGCTTCATCAGCTTAGCCATCGTCATCTTCATCCCCATTTACGACCGGATACTTGTCCCTGTCGCAAGATCCATCACACGTCGCCCAACAGGAATCACGATGCTCCAGAGAATAGGCACCGGAATATTCCTATCCTTTGTCACGATGGTAATATCGGCATTAGTGGAAATGAAAAGACTCAGAACGGCTAGAGACCACGGCCTGGTGGATCGGCCAGAAGCGACGATCCCAATGAGCGTGTGGTGGTTGGTCCCTCAGTACTTCCTC